AGAGGCCTGGTGCACAGGTGGGGGCCGGCTGGTTTGCCCTGAAGGGTGTCCTGGATCAGGGTGGGGGTCCCCACTGGGGTGCCTGGCCAGTCTGGGTGAGGGGCTGATGGGTGTTTGCAGGCTGGTCACACCCCCTTCAAGGTGGGGGTCCCCACTGGGGTGCCTGGCCAGCCTGGGTGAGGGGCTGAGGGCTATTTTCAGGCTGGCCACACCCCCTTCAGGGTGGGGGTCCCCACTGGGGTACCTGACCAGCCTGGGTGAGGGGCTGATGGCTGTTTGCAGGCTGGTCAAGCCCCCCAGTGAGGACCCTCACCCCATGGGGGTTGGGCCAGCCTGGGTGAGTGGCTGAGGGCTGTTTTTATGCTGGCCACAGCCTCTTCAGGGTGGGGAGCCCTATTGGGGTGCCTGGCAGCCTGGTTGAGGGGCTGATGGCCGTTTTCAGGCTGGCCACAGCCATGGGCTGGAAACAAGTATCTGGGGCTTATTTATCTTCTATAATTGAAACTTTGTAGCCTTGAGTGGAGCTCAAGGCCAGTAGAGCAGGCGGGAAGCTTGGCTTCTTCCATTGCTGGGGACAACCCAAGCCTCCTGCTCACTTCAGCTCTGTGGCTGCTGCCATCTTAGTTGGGTTAATTTGCATATTCACTCCTGATTGGCTTGTGGGCATGGCTTTTGGGTGTAGCAGAGGGACGATCAATTTGCATGTTTCTCTTTTATTAGATTATATATATATATCCTATATAATAAAAGGATAATATGCAAATCGACTGAACGGTAAAACGACCTGTCTCTATGATGCGCACTGACCACCAGGGGGTAGACGCTCAATGCAGGAACTGCCCCCTGGTGGTCAGTGTGCTCCCACAGTGGGGAGTGCCGCTCACCCAGAAGCTGGGTTCATGGCTGATGAGCACAGCGGTGGTGGTGGGAGCCTCTCCCTCCTCCGCAGCAGCACTAAGGATGTCCAACTGCTGGCTTAGGCCCTCTCCCCGCAGAGAGCGGGCCTAAGCCATCAGTTTGACATCCCCCAAGTCTCCCGGACTGCTGAAGGGCACAGACTGGGCTGAGTGAACCCCTCCCCTTGAGTGCACAAATGTTGTGCACTGGGCCTCTAGTATGAAATATGACAGTGTATCTCAAAAGGCTTGGACCATACTGGTGAATAGATGCGCAATAATGTTTAACAAAGTACACCCAAGTGCAAATACAGGTACAACTTCTCTTGCCCAGGGCTAAAATACAAATATTATATAGTAGCTTAGGGCCAGTTCAGTTTCCCTTTTCTCCTTTTTCTTGTAAGTGGAAAATCTGTGATGCCAAGACCTCTACAGTTTATACCACCCACCCAGGGAAACAGAGGCCCAAAGAAGGTCTGCCGGGGAAACCCACAAGTAAACTGGTTTAGCTCTCTCTACGGAGAAGCCGTTCGACAAAGCTCTCTCAAAAAGCAGCGTCACCTGGAGCATCACGGCCACCAAGCCAATCTCCCAGGAGTGAGGGAGGGAAGATTTACCTTTTAAAAATGGAAATAGAAAGAAAGCACTGCAAGGACTGGCACCACAGCGAATGTCCACCTGGTCTCCCTACACTGCCTTCGGTGAGTGTGGCCAGGAAGACCTTTCCCCTACGAGTGTGCCTTCCTTGATGAAAGCCTTTATTCCTACTAAAGAAGCACCTCCTGGCGCATGGGGTTTTGTTACCTGGTAGGATGAAGAGAATGAGGTTTGCACCGAGCCACCACGAACAAAATGAGATTTGTGCCCCATTTTTTCTGTGGCCATCATGTAACATTCCTCTTTTCCTAAAATCACAGACATGTCTATAGTGATTTTTAAAATGTGACTACAGCTTTTCAGCATTTGTTGACCCCATGACCTTGTTTCGAAGCTCAACCCCAACCAGTTAAATAACCGATTCTAAATTAGATAGGTAGGAAATAAAGATGGCCTTTATATTGGATCCTTGGGTCTACACTGAATGATGCCTCCATCTAAAACCAATATCCACGTAAGATGCAAGAGAATCTCAAAACAGTTCCAACTCCCATAAACAGCCCTGTTTTTAATCTGTTGCCTACAATATACCAATGAGAAAAATCATGGTATCGTGTCATAAACAGCTATGCAAATGATGCTATTTGTGAGTATTAACATAATTTAGTGCTTACAGTCATAATCTCATTTCTAATAATTCTCCCAGAATGGAGTCTTTCTCTGGACTCTTAGCCTGCAGGATAGTCTTTCATCAAGAAGCTGAAATTTTTAATAACCTGCCAGCATATGTTTTGTATGTGCCGGGCTAGGCTTGATGACACAACATCTTCATTATGAAAAGAAACAGGTCCACAAACTGTAATAGGACATTAAAACATGCCTGTGCTCATAAAGTAATGCTTTGATGTCTAAATGTGCACCATTATGATGGTCTTCTGGAACAAAGGGTAATTCTGATCCTAAATCCTCAATAGCTACACTCAATGGAGATTGCAGTTCACTTCCAGTCTGGGTACAATTTCACTTTGAAGGCAAAAGAATGTCAATAATTTTCCCCCCGCCCCACCCCCCAAAAAAGCTCTTCAGAGCTGCTTTATTTTTTATTTTTATTTTTGGCTTTTAACCAAAATGACCATGGCTAAGCACGGGTTTCAAAGATTAAAAAGATTTCTGAATAATTATTTTTTCCTTATTAAGTTAAAAAAAGATTTCAATAGAGTATTAATTATTCAAGATTTTCACATTTAATAACACTCATGATAATGCCAAAAGTGGTTGGTGACAATTTAAAATGATATAGTTTAAAACAATTGAAAGTAAATAATGTATAGTTAGGCTTCCAAGTTCAATTCAGCCAGTGTCAATATGTTAAATATTTTTTAAACCTAAAGTCAAATATTTTAAATTTATCATTATCTAGTTTCAGGAGAATTAAAAAAAATATTGGTTTGAAATATTAAGACCAGCCCACTAACATTTCAATTTTTTAAATGAAAAAGTCATATTTTCATCATTGACTCTCCACAGTTCTGCTTTAAAAAGAAAACACTATACAATATGAAGTAAAATCCAGTTCAAAGAGAACCCTCTATGGGCCTCAAAATTAAATACATTTTCCTTGTTTTATTTTTTTCCTAGGAGAGTAATTCACTTTGGTATCCTTTAAATAATATGTAAAAAGCTGGCCATGACAGGTACTGCATTTAGTCCATTCTCTGACGGAGGGGAAGAAAAGCCCAGGATAGATCATGGGGAGAACAGACACATTTGTCAAAGGGAACTCTCTCTTCTGACTGTTCTCTAGATTTATTCGTTGTTTCACTTTCACAAGAGTAATGCGGTTCTCTCTGGAGTGCCCCTCCCTTCCTATCACTTGTGTTTTGATTCATAGACTTCTGCAGTGGGATGCTCAGAGGAGATGCAAATCACCGCGCAGCCCACTGCTAAGCACGTCAGTAGGGAAGGAATCGGTGAAGGGAATTTACGTCTGAATTTTCCTCATCAGTTATGCTGTCACGAGGAGGTCAGGCAAGACAGAGATTTGGGATTAAGAGAAGCCAGGCTAGTCTAGACTCTGGATGCAAAGTGGGGCGGCGTTTAGAATGGTGGGTGTAATTTATATAGTAAGCCATATACGATAACTTTAATTATTAAGCAAGTTTGGAACGGACTAAGAAGTTGTACAGTTCATCCTTCCACCAACATACATGGAAAATTCTCTACCCAACCACTTATATGCTAAGATTTCTTGCCTTTTGTTCGGCTTTGGCCTGGAGATTTTCTGGGTAGGATGTACTATTTTCTCAACATCTCACAGGGACCAGCAGTTACACAAATTTCCTTGAATTGACTTCAGAAACATATGACTGCTGATAGAATGCTATTATACACTAGCTTCCAGGTGACAACCATTTACTAATAGAATTTCTCTCTCATAATAAAATGCGGGTAGCTTATTAATGTCAGTTGTTAGAAGCATATGATCAGACCCACTTGGAGCGAATGATGAGACTTGTAATGTTACCAGAATATGATTTAAAAAAATTACTTCCTAATAATCATAATCAATTTGAAGACATGAATGAAGACTTTTAGGGCCCAATGAAAGGACATTTAAAATAACCTAATCAACCCCATTGCCTCAGAAAGGTCCAGTGATCTGCCCAAGGTCTCACTGCTGGCCGGCGACACTGCAGAGCCTTGAAGGAAGTGCCTTCCCCTCCTTGCTGAGCCTTTTGCTTCATCTCCTAACAATACACAGACGCTGTGGATTTATGTCACCATTGAATACTCACCTGTGCCCATTTCTTGCGCCAGTCTTCACGGCTGTATTTCTTATACTCCTTTAGGAGCCAGTCACGGCACTGGAGGTGGGAAAGAATGTCACAAAACGCAGTCCCATTTCCTCCAAATTCATAGTCCATTTTAAAGAGCCAGCGTTGGATTTCTGGGTGATCGATGATCAGCTGAGTCAGCTGTTCTATCATCTGTGGGGATGAAGACGTAGCAACATGTAATGTAGCTGGTGTCCTGGATTCCTTTGTACTGTATTAACTCAGTGGTACTTTTCAAGTGTCTTTATTTCAAATGGTCTGTTCATTAGGTTATCCTCTAGTTATTAAGACAGACTGGAAGAAGTTTTAAATGATGTAGAGATGATGTGAAGAAACCACTAACCAATGGGACTAAAGGCGCGTTTAAAAGTATAGTCCTATTTAGGAGAAACTGAAATTATCATTTGCCTGCTTTTCAAAGCAAAATAAAGAATTGAATTTTGGTATTGTTTTCTTTCCTTTTCAGAGAATTATGTGTTTACTTATTGATTCTTCAAATGATTTTTTTATAGTTTCAAGACTATAAAGATTTATATTCTTGAAAACTTTATTTGGTGCTTTGTTGAACTTTTAAATGTTATAACCCAGTGGTTGGCAAACCGCGGCTCGCGAGTCACATGCGGCTCTTTGGCCCCTTGAGTGTGGCTCTTCCACAAAATACCACGTGTGGGCGTGCACGTACAGTGAGATTGAAACTTCGTGGCCCATGCGCAGAAGTCGGTTTTCAGCATGGGTGAGTCTATTTTGAAGAAGTACTGTTGATATTTGGCTCTGTTGATTAATGAGTTTGCCGACCACTGAGACAGACGAAACAAGTATACAAGACGAGTGTGGATGGGAGAGTTGGAAGGGGTCGACCTCAGTGAAGGTACCTCAATCAGATTGAGGACGTTTTTTAGCAAAGGCCAGCTTAGGAGTACCCTAATTAAGTTAATAACAATATACCTACCTGTACAGTTTAAGTTTAAAAAATTTGGCTCTCAAAAGAAATTTCAATCGTCGTACTGTTGATATTTGGCTCTGTTGACTAATGAGTTTGCCAACCACTGTTATAACCCATAAAACATTTAACATTTTCCTCATTAACATACATGAAATGCATTTGTTTGGCTGGTCAATTGGCCAAGTGCATTACATAATATGTATTATATGGACACAAGCGGTAAAGGAGATAAAACGTTCATGGAAGCAATGTTCCTGGAATACACACCTATCCTATTTAACACGGTATTCCCTCAGGAACTGGGCTCCATCACATGGAAGTTTAAGGGGTAAAGTTCAAGCTCTAATATCATGGTGATAATAATGATACTATCTAACATTGCTGAACTCAGCAGGAGCCAGGCCTTTGACTAAGCTCTCTACATGAGTTTATTTTTAAATTGAATACTCACAAAACCTCTGAGGCAGGCACCATGTTTAGTTTCATTTCATATATAAATAACTGAGGGTCAGCAAATTTGAATAACAGGCCCACGATCACACAGAACCAAGCGGAAGAGCAGACTCCGCCCAGGTTGCCCTGACTCCAACACCTAAGCTCATTCTCTCGCCACTGGGCTGCCTAGCTCAACCTGCAGAGAGGAGGAGGAGAGGTGGGTGGAGGGAGAAGTTAAAAGAGAAGCAACTTTCCTTCCCACCAATAGCCATTTGGGATAAGTTGAGTCAGACAAAAGTCTAAAGCAATATTATTTAATTACAAGTCATACTGTTCTAGTAGAGCCTTGGAGAAAAATAACTCACTAAATCACAAAATGATGTGTGTGTGTGTGTGTGTGTGTGTGTGTGTGTTTGTCTTCTCATCAGACTTTCCAGTGTACTTGTATACTTCCCCGAAAGAAGCAAAGCATTACTAAGCATTTGCTTTGATGAGCCTACCCACTGCTGTACTTGGCTATGGTCACTTATACTTAAGGAGGTCTCTGCAACATTCTGTTTTTATTTATTGATGAGAAAGGGAGAGAGAGAGAGAGAGAGAGAGAGAGAGAGAGAGAGAGAGAGACATTAATTTGTTGTTCCACTTATTTATGTATTCACTAGAGAGGCCCAATGCACAAAATTCATGCAAGAGTATAGGCCTTCCTTCCCTTGGCTGTTGGCACCGGTTTCCCTCTGGCACCCAGGACCTAGGCTTCCCTCCAGCCCCTGCTTCATCTGGAAGGACATCCGGAATGATGACCGGTCTAATTAGCTTATTAAGTTTTTATTATTATAGATTGGTTTCTTGTATATTCCTCGACTGGGAATCAAACTGACAGCCTCAGTGTGTTGGGATGACACTCTAACCCAGCTGTGGGCAAACTACGGCCCGCGGGCCGGATCCAGCCCGTTTGAAATGAATAATACTAAAAAAAAAAGACCGTACCCTTTTATGTAATGATGTTTACTTTGACCATACCCTTTTATGTAATGATGTTTACTTTGAATTTATATTAGTTCACACAAACACTACATCCATGCTTTTGTTCCGGCCCTCCGGTCCAGTTTAAGAACCCATTGTGGCCCTCGAGTCAAAAAGTTTGCCCACCCCTGCACCCATCTGAGCTGCCCAGCGAGGCTGCAACACTCCTATTCTCTTCTCTTTGGATGACGTTTTGGTCACCGGATGGAATGTTTTTCAGTTAAAGCGTGTGAAAGGACTAAAGATTGTGGTTCTGCTGAAGTACGGAGCTGGAAGATTAAAATTATTTTGATTAAAGGTACAATCTGTTTTCTTGAGTTGTGTTTTCTCAGCTGCTCTTCCTGAGGATGTTACACTATCCAGCAGTGTGGAAGTGACATCAAAACAGGCATTCTTGGGATCCCTGGAAGCCCTGTGCAATCATGGGGTATTCAAATAGGGTGGACATGGAATTGTCTTAGTTCCCTAATTATCAAGTAGTGTCTGTGGATAATTTGGGTATTTAAATTAAAAGTACTCTGGTCTACCCACCATGTAGCTATGAGCTTTGCCTATAAAGGTTTTTAAATGAACCTTTCAAAGTTACATCCCTTCTTTCTCTGGTATTGTGTTGAGAAGATAGGTTCTATATTTCATCATATTTAGCTGTATTCTGATCATACTTTGCAGAAGTAGAAATAGTCTTTGGTGAGTAATCTATAATAATAAAAGCATAATCTGCTAATTAGACTGGACGTCCTTCTGGACGAAGCCTGGTGGCGGGGGCTGAGGCAGAGGCAGCCTGGGCGGCGGCGGGTGCCGAACCCCTTGCATGAATTTTGTGCATCGCGAGGCCTCTAGTATTTTATAAAAGTACTTTGCTGGTGTAAGAAAAGGTGTTCTGGCATAGCATTTTTATTGTATATTTGGAAATATTGTGTATTCAGAGAGTCAACTACTAACAAAATTATCATCTGTTTCTTCCAAATCCTGTTATTTGTTGCTTCTGAGAGTCCTATAAATGGGCGTCTGTTGATGGATCCCCTACAGTATGAAAAGGATCAATAATATTGTAAAGACTGCACCATGGGAAAGAATTATGTGCTATCTTTAAGTGAAAATTGAACAGTGCTTTAAAATAGCGCCACTATTTTTGCTTATTTAACCAAAGCTGTCAATATTTCATATGGAGCACATGCCAGAAAAAGAACTTGCGTGGTTACTTTATGGATCAAAACAGGACATGCTCACGGTGCTCACACTAGACTTAAAAACTAAATAAATTACTTAATCATAAACCAAATGACTTTACACTGTTTCAGAACATTTATGATTCTTTGTTTGAGTTTATCTCTTCAAAAGAAGTAATATAATTTTAAATTGCCATTCATTTTACATTGGTGTAGAGCAGAAGTAGAAAAATGACTACTGCTAAAATCCATCTGATAGTCAGGAATATTTATTAACCTAAATTAAGATGATCACAGCTTTCCTTCACCAGCTTTAAGTTTATGATGCACAGCGGTAAAAGTCAGTGCTATTGATTCATCGCCATCTGCGAATTCAAAACGCTGACACACTCAGATAGCTTAGGTAAGATAGTCAGTATCTGGAAAAATCTCAGTGGAGTACTTCAATTCTTGATGACCTCAGACGTATGTTTTCCAAACAAGCAGAGTAGAACTCAGTTATAAATCTGTTTAAGGTGATGCAATTTGCATGTGCCATAGGTGAAATGACATCCCTCAAATCTGATGTGTCTACAGGGAAGTTTTAAATCCTACTTCTGAACACCAGCACTAGAGGAAGGTTGTCCTGCATTGGATGTGCCTGCATCTTTAACCACATTTCATGGCAAAGACTGCCTGAGTTCTTAATCAGTGAAGATGAAATCAAGACTCCATACAACTATTGCACATACATTTTAGGGTTTTGGAAATTATTGAATGTAATGTACACTCCTCCCTTTATGGCTCCTTCCTGAGGGACCAAAGGATTTTTGTACCAGGGAAGGATGTCTGCAGCCCTCTTCCATAGGCCCTCTGCCACCTGCCTTGACAGACAGGCGCCCCTCGTGGAGCTTTCCAAACTGCCTCCTCTGAGCTAAAATTGTCTTTCCCATTTCTCAGGGACCTGCTCAATGGTTGGCTAGCTAATACGATGATGAACTAAATAATCCCTGTCGAGGCAATCAATATTGATAGCATATTGGTGCACTAACAGGGTCTTCAATGTCTTAATCCAAATGAGTTAATATTTTTCAAGGACAATGCTTTTAAACATGAAGTCCTAAAGTAGACCTAACAAATCAACTCAAGTATTCCACATAATCTCCACTGGGCAGGGCTGGCTCCAGAAGGCCTGAGGTCCCTGCAACTCCAAGAGGATGTGCTATATTTGAACAGAGCCTCTCTCTTCCACCCCGCATACCTGCTGGTGACTAAAGATGTCAGATATTCCAGGAGGGAACGGCACATTGGCGCTGGCAAACATCTGTTTACTTCCAGACTTGGTGCTATAAAGATGAGCTATTTCAGGCTCTGGGCCCAGGATGGGTACGTCTAACATATCTGCCACGGCCAGATCATCTTTGTGGAGGAACCCACTGACAATGTAGGCATCTCGTCCACTGATGAGGTTTTTTATTCTTTTGATTGCTTTGGGACTGTACTTCAGGTGAGTCGCCAGGCACATATGTTGCTTCTGGGGGAAGAGCATATCATTCTTGTTAAAAGGTGTTCTTTTTGTCTAGTCCATGCACCTAATTTATAAT